GGTTGGGTCCTGGCCCTGCTGCTTATTAAATGTGTGGCCTTCAGCCAGACTCCTCATCTCCCTGAGGACATTTGTCTAAGCCGGCGGTTCTCAAACTTTTTGGTCTCAGGACCCCTTTACACTCTTAAAAATTACTGCAGAACCCCCTGCCCAAAACAGCTTTTGTTGAAATGGGTTATATCTATTTTTATTTACCACATTAGAAAGCAAACCATCTGAGCATTATTATGGAATAGTTTTGATCTCGTGGACCCCTTGCAAAGGCCCCAGGGGTCCCTGGAGTACCCTTTGAGAACTCTGGTCTAATGATAGCTGAAATCCCCTCCATTTACTTTTTCCTTTGTTGGAGGGGGAGAGGGAAAACAATCAGAGTTAAGTGACTTGCTCAAGGTCATACAGCTAGTAAGTGTCTGAGGCCGGATTTGAATTCTTCTCCTCCCTGGGCCTCTGCATCCTCATCTGTGAAATGAGCCGCTTGGATTTTTCATCTCTAAATTACAATCCCATCATCTGATCTCTCTGATCTCCTCCAATGGGAAGGGGAGAAATCAACTCCAGGAGCGGTTATGTTTCATCTTCCCCGAAGTGCTGGAAGCTTCATCAGTCTGTCTCATTCACCTTCCTATTTCCTCCCTGCACAGAGCTCAGTAATCTGGACAGAGCAGGTACTCACTCCTACTACCCTCCTTCTCTCCCAGGGGCAGGGAGAGAAGAGGAGAGACTGTGAGTGCAAGGCGGCTTTCTCCTTCCTCAACCCCAAGGCTCCTAACCTTGCTCTCTTGCACACCCCCACCTGAACAACACAATCTGCAGGTTGACCATCCCATATCTGATCTCAGGGACCAAGCTGTTCCTGACCAAGAATGTCCCCCCCTCACCCCACCCTCCCCCAAAAAAACATTCCTACATCTCAAATTACATTGCAAAGCATCAAAACTATTTGGGACTGGTTAAAAAAAAAGGGGAAAGCAGCTAGGTGGTGCAGTGCATAGAGCACTGGGCCTGGAGTCAAGAAGACCCGAATTCAAATCTGCTCCAGACACTTACTAGCTGTATGATCCTGGGTAAGTCACTTCACCTTGTTTGCCTCAGTTTCCTCATCTGTCAAATGAGCTGGAGAAGGAAATGGCAAATCACTCCAGTATCTTTGCCAAGAAAACTCCAAATAGAGTCACAGAGAGTCAGACATAACTGAAAAAATGACCGAATAACAACAACATCTCAGTGGAACAGCCTAGACAAGGAAGAATCGAACAATTGAAAATAACCCAGGATGTAATAAACCTGAGAAAGTCAATTACTTGAGGAAAGAACTATCTATTTGACAAGAACTGTTGGGAAAACTGCAAAGCTGTTTAGCAGAAATCAGGGTGAGGTCAACATCGTACACAATTTATTACAAAAAAGTATCACTGACCCAAATATTAAAGATCACAGCATTAAAAAAAAATTATAAGAGAATTGTATCAAATACCTTTTACAAGTATGACTGAATCCTTGACCAAACACTTGTTAGTTAGGTAGAGGTGATCAAAAGGATAAAACAGGTCATTTTGATTATATGCAGTTCAAGAGTTTTTGCATGAACAAAATTAATGCAAATAGAATAAGATAAGCAGCTGACTGCGGGAAAATCGCAACCTAAACTCTTTCTTATAAGAGTTTGATACTATATACATATATATATATATGGAACTAACACTGCCCAATAGATAAATGATGAAAAGCCATGAACAAACAGTTCTGAAAAGAATCACAAAGTATTAACTATATAAAAGATTTGCTCCAAATAACTAAAGTGAGAAATGTAAATCAAAAGACCTCTGAGGTTTTATCTCACACAAAGAAAATTATCCGTGACAAAATGGAGGGCTAGTCAGTATTAGAAGGGCTGAGGGAAGATGGGCTCTTTAAGTCAGTCAAGAAATATTCATTAAGCTCCTTGCATGTGCTAGGCTGTGAACTGCTCCAATCATTAGCGATTTGGAATGATGCCAAGAAAAGTTGTCCATACCATCTGGTCTAGAGATCCTCTTGCTAGGCATTTACACTGAGGAGGTCAATGAAAAAAAAAAAGGACCTATATGTACCAAAATAACTAAAATAGTACTTTTTTAGTAGCAAAGAAGAGGAAACAAAATAGCTGTCTATTACATAAGTCATAGTTAAACTGTAGTACAGGAAGGCAATGATTATTACTGAAACTATGTACATGATGAATTCAGAGAAGCTTGGGAAGATTTGTATGAGCTGATACAAAGTAAAAAATCAACAGAACCAGGAAAACAATATATGAAATGACCACAACAATGTAGGTAGAATAATAACAACAAAACAAATAAAACTGAAGGCTGTGAAATGATAATGCTCATTCAGCCCCAAAGAAGAGCCATGAGAAGGTATATCCTTTCTTTTTGCAGAAGAAGGGGACTCTGGGTGTAGAGCTCTACATATAATGTTGGATTTATTTCATGCCTAGGTGAGTTTGCTGAACTTCCCACCCCCTTTTTTAAGGAATGGCTCTTGTGGAAGGGGAGGAGGAGAGAGATGTATTGGGAAATGTAGGCAATATAAAATCAGTATCAATAAAAATATTTTTAAACTCATCTTCCACATCCCCCACCACCACCTCCACACACACCAAAAAAGTGCTTATCCAGCCTTTGCTTGAAGATTCACAGTAAAGGAAGGCTCACTACCTTTCAAAGCAGCCCAGCACAAATTGTTAGGAAGCCTCAAACTGCCTCTGGGGACTTCCACCCATCTGAGTTCTGCCCTCTGGGCCTGAGCAGAACAAGATGAATCTGTCTCAAGACAGTCCTTCTAATACATGAAGGCAGCTATAACATTCTCTTTGTGTCTTCCTTCTCCAGGCTGAACACCCTCGTCCCATCAGAAGAAATTTGAGCTAGAAGGGACCCAGAGGCCATCCAGTCCAACCCCTTCCCTTCTCTTCCCAGCCCTGTTGCCAGGAGCCAGTCATTACTGTTTGATCACCTCCCTAGCCCCCTCCCACTGTTCACCTCCCAGTTCTCCCTCCTACAGTTAATTAAAAACAAGTCCTGGAGACAGAAGAATGCTTCTTATATGGTCCAGGAGTCCTTCTTGCTTACTGCCTGCCAAGCCTCTCCTCTCTCTGTCTCTCTGTCTCTCTCTCTCTTGCTCTCTCTTTCTCTCTCTATCCCTCCCTCTGTCCCTACCTATACAAAGTTGGTACTTGGAATTATGTGACTGGGGAATCACTGGTGTCAGGGAGCCCCTGCTCTAAGTCCCAGGACCCAGGACTGAGACAATCTGTCCCCTGGCACAGAGAACAAGAGATCTCTGGGAAGGCTCTTGTTTAATTCTCTGTCTCCAGTGTCCTCTGGAGGGGCTATTTCCTGCTTTCAAGGGAAAGGGAAAACCTTGCCTTCTTCTTGAGGCATCCCATGTTTTAACCCTATCCCCAGCAGTAGCTGAGTGCCTGTGGCCTGGTAGGACCTTAATCAGTCCTTGCTGACTGGCTGGTTCATTGATGGAAGGATGTTCTCCTTACGTTTGATATTCTGCAAGGGCTAAACTGTGGCATCAGAATCCCATGATCCCAGATTAAAGCTGGAAGGGACCAAAGAGTCCTCTCTGCCAACTCCTTTTCTTTTCTTTTCTTTTCTTTTCTTTTCTTTTCTTTTCTTTTCTTTTCTTTTCTTT